TGTTGAGAGGAGATCTATCAACTTTCGGGGGGGGGGGGGGTATGACGAGCTGAACTATGCTATGTGCATGAGCATAGACATTAGTCGCGCTTCACCAGTGACACGCGTCATGTTTTGGCTCGAGCCAAATGGTAATTTGGCTCGGGCCGGTTTGAGTCGCGGAGAAACGTCACAGCGTCGGACGCAGTAAATACTACTTGTCTGTCAATTCAGAATGTCAAATGAAATTTTGAGAAGGCAGTGGGCTACGGATACGGTAGCCGTTATCTTAATGTGCTCGAGGTACGGGTCGGAGTCCATTCGCTTTCATACTTAACGAGACAAAGATGGCGGCGGTGGCGCAGATTTCGAAATAACGCCTTAGGGAAATAGATTAGACGAATTTGAAGAGTTTAGATGAGCTATGAACCCTAACCCTAACCCTAAACCTAACCCTAACCCTAACGCCAAAAAGGGGCTTCAACGAACGACGGCTACCGTACCTCCAGCCACTGCGTAAATTTTATTGCACAAATATCTCACAGATACTTTGGCAGTATGTCGCGAGATGGTGTTGTGTACGATTCAGAGTGTTTACTTCCATTCCGAGTTCAATTATCAATCTTGAAAACGTGCATCCTGATCAAATTTTTCGAATTTTTATAGTGTTTTGGACTTTATTTCGTCGAAGTACACGTTCGACACTTGCGGCACCTACCGCTCAACCGATTCTACCGCTCTACCGCTCGCCGAAAGCTGGTGCTAAAATTTGGCTCGGGCCTAGCTGGTCCGACGTTTTCGATAGGACCAAATCTGGCACGGGCCTAATTAGGCTCGGACCAAAAACGTCCGTGTGAACGCTCGGCTCGAGCCAAATCTGGCACGGGCCTAATTAGGCTCGGGCCAAAAACGTCCGTGTGAACGCGCCTATAGGGTCTATGTCCCCCAGGCCCAGGGTACTGCCGGAATGTACCCTGGGTACGGTCTGGTATACCGGAACGTACCCTGGCAGGGTTCTCCCCAGGATAAAATTGAAACAGGGGGGAGGGGAGGAGGGAGGGGGAGAGGAAACTAGGGGGTCCGGGGGTGTGTTTTTTTACCGTACCACTAATTAATGCGTAAAATCGCCACCACACCATAGACGGTATTTGGGGTACTTGTATATATAAGATAGCCGAGTCGGTGTACAGTTAGTGTTGGGTTTGGTACAGGTTGGCTGTTTGTACTTGTGTGAAGTCTGCAGTGCATACGTAGTGTAGGACGGTAAAAATACACGCGTCCGCGCTCCTGGTCGAATGGGAATTCTTGGCGATCCATTCCCGCGCTGTCAAACTTTTATTGTGGTGGATTTTAATCGTGGCGGAGGTAATTTAAATGGGGCGCAACGATTGAAACAGGGGGGGAGTTTTCCCAAACGGGACGGGCGCGCCCGGTTTGCGCAACGTAGGGAGAAGCCTGCCTGGTAAATATTTGATATGGTTAGGGTTAGGGTGGTTCAAGGATAGAGATGATGTCCAGGATGGTGATTGGATCATAGGATGATGTTTATTACTGGACATGCTTTCTATCCTTGAGCCGTTAGGGTAAGGCAATTCCCTAGACTCGTTAGTGGAGTAGGCGAGGTACGGTCTGGCATATTAGTCTAGTACCAGGGTACGTTCCGGTATACCAGACCTAGATACAATAATGTAACCCAAACCCAACCTATCCTGGGTTTGGGTTACATTATTGTATCTATACCAGACCGTACCCAGGGTACGTTCCGGCAGTATCCTGGGGGACATAGAGCCTCTCAGCTGAACTATGCTCCTGCAAATGCTCCGATATGCTCCTGCAAATGAGCCATTGTTCCCACGTACTGTAGTTGCAAAACCCAAAGGAAGGGCAAGTGCATGGCCTACATTCACGAAATCAAAACAAAGGCACATGCTTCGAGTACTAGTCACGTAACCAAAATAAAATGTTTCTGCCCACCCTGAATCCAAACCTGATACTGGCTTAGATTTAGCCTTCAGGCTTCGTGAAATTGAAAGGTCTGACTGACAAAAAGTAATTTTGGTACAGACTTGGTAATCAGTGTAATTGCTACTACTGCTAGTCCTTGTATTAGGCCAGCATGTGAAGAGTATCTAAGCTTGAGCTAGGTAATTGATATATTTGAATGTTGTCTTGTTAATTTTAGGGGCAGTGAAATCACCGATATTAGCATTGTGAAGGAGATGAAGAATGTTGAAGTGGTAAATCTCAGGTAATTCGTCAAACTTAATCCAAACTTATTAAAGGATTATTTATGGACACCTTAACCAAAGAAGGTGAAACAGGAAAACAGCTAAAAAAATTACACAAACGAATTGAATGCATAATTGTTCAGTTTTATTAAGTGCCACTGACAGCAACTAAATTTATTTCCTCACGAAGATATCCAAAGAGTATATCTTATTCCGTGTTTCTCTTTTCAGCATCAATCGCATTTCATCGCTGGCTGCCTTCGCTCAATGCAAAAGCCTCAAGGAGCTGTACATCAGGAAGAACAACATTGCCAGTCTCACCGACATCTACCACCTGAGGGCGCTACCGAACCTCCGCGTGCTCTGGTTGGCGGACAACCCGTGTGCGATCGGAGACGAGTACAGGAAGACTGTGTTGGGAATTATCCCTAACCTGGTCAAGCTGGATAACACATGTAGGTCGTGTTTCCTGTTTAAAGTTTTCTATTCGAAGCGACGTGGAGTGGGAAACCATGATTATGTCAGGCGACACCATTGGGTCTTTTCTCATTTGGCTTGAAATTACCAGACATTCAAACTTGAGCCAACTAATCGAAAATGAGGTTTAAAAAAAATTCGTATGACCATTTCACAGATTTATTTCGTCGGTACTAAACATTCATGACCATATGTCTCCTCGACAGCTAGCAGTAACCATGGTTACCAACCTGCTAGTCAATTTAAAATGACAACACGCTTCTGTTTCACGTATTTAACCGTTAACTCGTCTCGAAACGAAAATCGCATCAGTGACCTCAAACCGCGCGCTTTCTTCGTGTGTCTGCAGCCGTAACAGAGGAGGAGAGGTGTGGGGCTCAGCAGCAGGAGGAGGTGAACGGACGAGCGAGCAGCCCCGAGGAAGAGGAGGAGGAGGAGGAGGGGAAGGACCTTCTCGAGACGAGAGGGAAGACCGCACGAGAGAAGCGGCGGGAGCGGCTGAGTCTGGCGCAGGTGAAGGATCCCGTCTCCTCTGCCGTCGCTACGAATGCCGGCAAAGTAAGTGCAGTGTGGAGGCGAGGAGGAGGAGGCGGTGAGGTGGCCAGTCCACGCTAGTCCACGTATCATTCGTTATAAGAAAGGTCCAGTAAGGATGAACTAGACACCAAGATAACCAATAGTTACAGTAGAGTAGTTGTCGACGACCCTGTGGCTATCTACGGAATGTACTGCCTCTACATTTCGATTGCATGTCTACCACTTTAGACGTGAAATAAACTGAAAGTGTCCACGATTGATGTATCACATGGTAACGTTTATCTGTGGAAATATGGAAAATATTTATCCGTGCCAGAGTGAATTTTGCAGCAGTGCAAATTTGTGTCACCTCCTGTTCATGAAGAGAAAGTGGTGTAGCTTGGCAGGGGAATATCCTGGGAATGTCATGCGATTAATTTGTTTCGCATTTTTAACCGTGCTAACATTTACTCTCACCTTTCCCTTGTGTCTGCTGGCAAATTGATAGTAGCAAGCGCAGCTAAGACCTGGAGATATTTCCGACGTATGTCTGACTTGCGTGTTGTGTTGTTTTACGACCGAGTTTTCCATTTTATGTTTGTCTTGCGTGCTGACGATTTTTCTGAGCTAGCTCCGCACGTTTTCGTTGTTCGTTTTGTGTGACGACTATTGTATAGTACTTTGTTACCCATGCATTTTCTTACTTCTTTTCGATTATCTGTAGTCCACCGTTTTCCTGTCGTTGGCTTGGTGTGTGTTTATACATAATCCAGGTTATTTGATGTCATTTAAAATAGATTGCTGGGTCTGTTTTGAATCGTAAATGATGCATGACTACTGCCTTTATAGATTACATTGTTTATTAGTAGTGTGTGAGTTCCACTGTACTCTAAAGGAAGTAGTAGGTTTTGACGGATGTAGCAATAGAGATGCTTTCAAGTATTTGGCCGTGTATGTCTTGGTAATATCGTACTTTTCTTGTTAGCATTTTTCGTTCATTCAGCTGAATTTTAACTGACTTTTCATCCTTAATTTGCTAATTATAATTTTGTATGCGGAATATGATATCCACTTTAATTGTATCCCCCGCGACGAAGTCGGCGGGGATACTATGGTTTCATGTCTGTCCAGCCGCCGCCGCCGCAGACACTTTCTCTTTCGCTCTATAACTCGACCCTTAATTGACCTAGCGTGACCAAACATAGTCTACTTACACATCTTGGGGAGAAGGTGCGCAGCGTACCAAAACCAGGTCACTACGACCTTTATTTGACCTTTACCTTGACCTTGATCATATTTCCCTTCTGTTCTATAACTCGGCCCCTAATTGACCTAGCGCTACCAAACTTGGTATACTTACACATCTTGGGGAGAAGCTATGTCGCGTACCAAAACCAGGTCACTGCGACCTTTATTTGACCTTAATATTGACCTTGATTATATTTCTCTTCCGCTCTATAACTCGGCCCCTAATTGACCTAGCGCTACCAAACTTGGTATACTTACACATCTTGGGGAGAAGGTGCGCAGCGTACCAAAACCAGGTCACTACGACCTTTGTTTGACCTTTACCTTGACCAAGATCATATTTCCCTTTCGCTCTATAACTTGGCCCCTAATTGACCTAGCGCTACCAAACTTGGTATACTTACACATCTTGGGGAAAAGGTGTGTCGCGTACCGAAACCAGGTCACTGCAACCTTTATTTGACACTGACCTTGACCTTAACCTTCATCATATTTCCCTTCTGCTCTATAACTCGGCCCCTAATCGACCTAGCGCGAGCAAACTTCGTATACTTACACATCTTGGGGAGAAGGTGTGTCGCGTACCAAAAACTTATTTAACTTTACCTACCTTCTACGTCCTTACAGAGATATTTCATTCATGCTAGATCACGGGGGATACATGTAGTTGGCGACAACTGCCCTTTCTAGTTAAAAAATAGCTTCGAGTGGAGGAATAAAATTAGGCTGACAACCCATGCAATTGAATTAGACTGACAACAACATTTCATTCAGGGAAACAATGTGTTAACGGCCGTGCTGTGCCTCTTGAGAGAACTCGACGGCGACAGTCTACAGATGGTCGTCAGTGCCGCCAGCGACCGGCTGGAGACGCTGGCGCCACCTTGCCACGAAACGGCAAAACTCCACGCCACCATGACGCCTTCCCCGCCGAAGAGCGAGTCGTCACAGAGAGAGTCACCAGTGAGTGAGAGGTCAGCAGACAGCGAGCGGTCACGGAGCGTGGGCAGTGCGTCATCACGCAGCGAGGCAGGGCTGCAGATCGAGTCATCGTAGGAGGATGCTGCGTGAGTGTTACCGTGGCTACGCGACAACATCCTAGCATCGTCACAGAGGTGGGAGGGTGTCTGGGCGTCATCGTGGAAAAGAGACGTCCGTCCGAGCTACAGACTGTATGACTACTGCAGAGATGCCAACCACTACAATTTATCCGTATTTTATGCGAATTATCGTGTTGCATTGTTGCACCCCTATGACTTTGCATAAACTACGTTTTTATTAAGATAGAAATAAAATTTTTTAATGATATTTCAGTGGTATTTTATTTCAGGTTTACATTGGATTATACATGATGAAAATAACTAACATATTTAGCAGCAATATCAGTGTGAAGCTTATTGTCATTTGGGTCCAGAGCCAGGAATTGATCTCGCAATCAAGATTTCTCGCGTGGGGGGAGGCTGCCCGAACCCTAGATATTCGGGGTCACTGCAGTGGCCTCGACTACAGATTCAGACTCGTCACTACAGGTGTTGCTTCAGTAAGAGATGTGAATCTTGCTACTGAAGACGGCCGGGCCAGCAGTCAGTTAGCGGCGACTTTAACTGCCACTCTCGAGCCACTTATCTCATATCTGATTATAATCATATCGAGTTATATACATAACGTAATATTTCCCTTGGCCTGGATCGAAAGTAAACCTGCAATGCGTGCGCAATCAGGAATAACTACCGTCACCACAAGGCGCAGCAGCAAGCAGCGCGCCAATAGTAGCAGCAAGCAGCAGCAGCAGCATCCCACAGTAGCAGCAGCAGCAGTAGTGCAGCAGCGAGCGAGCGCAGCAATAGCAGCGAGTCAGCATTCAACCAACGAGTGAGAGCAGCGAGTAGCCGACGCACGAAGCAGCAGCAGACATCAGCAGTCAACACAAGTAGCAGCGAGCATTTTGAGAGCGCATCAACCAGCGGTTGCGCCGGCAGCAAGTAGCCAAGGGGGCAGCGCAATAGTCAGCAGTAGCGGAGCAAGCGAGGCGGCGCAATAGCAGCGAGTGAGGCAAGCAGCGCTGGCGGCAGCTAGTCCAGGGCGGCAGGGGGAGCAGCGAAGCAGCAGCAAGCAGGGCATCACCAACAAGAGCAGCCAGTTGAGAGCAGCATCACCAACAGATGCCGCAGCGACAGTAGCCAACGCAGCAAGCAGATCCACCAACTAGTAGCGCAGCAGATAGCACAGCCGTGCAACGAGCAGCATCACCAGGCAAGTAGCAGCAACCAGTAGCAAGCTCAGGTAAGCAGCGGCGAGTAGCAGCAGCAGCAGCAGCATCACCAGCAGCAGCAGCAGTAGCAGCAGCAGCATCACCAGCAGTAGCAGCAGCAGCAGCACTACCAGCAGCAGCAGCAGCATAATCAGTAGCATCACTAGCAGTAGCAGCATCACCAGCAGTAGTAGCAGCAGCAGCAGCAGCAGCAGCAGCAGCTAATCAGCGTCCCAGCCTTAATTGGCAGGTGTAAAAAATTCATTGCGGGCAGCGGCAGCAGCATGTCACATCTGAGCGAGTAAGGATGTAATGCGGTGTAATGGCCGGTAATAGAGCGTGTCGAGGCCATTATACGCAACCTGTCCACTATATACCGGCGATGTGACCAGCCTTATGCCCTCCCCTCTTGTCCGTGAGGAGTGTGATATCAAGAGCATATTAAGTATGCATAAGTAATATAAGTAAACATATTGATGATATGAATGTTTGTGAATCGCCCTTAAGTAATAGCATGGATATAATTATGTCTAGAACTTCTGCTTATAGGTTGGTGGAGATAGCGAGTATGGTTTTGTTCGGTGTTGCAGTACACGCACCGATGTAACTAGTCATTTCATTTGAGAGAGTGATTTTTGTAGTCCGATGTTTTTTTTAAAAGCTCAATACTTGAGTCGAGACAATGGTGAATGTTACATTAATAGCAAAATTGCGATATAATTAAAAAGGTAATATGTAGCATGAACCAACTATTAATATATATTGTACGGTGGTAGATGCACCTTGCGACATTTTCCATATGAAAATATTTGGAATTTTCTAATTTAGTAAAAGAAGAAAATTAATACATGTTGCAGCAAACGTGTACGAAGTGTGTAAGTTTGTCTCTAAGTCAGTACCCTATCCACACCTATGTTGTACGTGGCGCGTTGTTGGCATATCTGGGCGTAAACTACATGTAAATAGATGAGAAAGTAGGTTCCCTATGGACTCATATCGTAATATCAGCTCTTGTCATTCATCTACGGCTGACAGCTATCTGGCTTGCGTACGTAGTACCGTAATGATAGAGTCGTTTGAGCGTAGGTCAACCATTCCCTTTCCCTATATGCTGCAGGACTTGATGGTGATGATGGAGATGACGATGATGATGGTGGTGATGACGATGATGATGATACCTGTATGAATTAGCGTGCGTGTGCTTGCGTGTATGTGCGTGCTCGCATCTGTGTGCCGCGTACACGCGCAGCCCTGAGGGTGTTTGCGCGCGCGTGTACGTATGTGCGCGCGTACATCCATCTATGCCAAGAGTACATAATAGAGATCTCTATTATCTACTCCTGATGTATATCTCAATACCAAAGCCAGAGTCAACAGCAGATAGTATAACTGCATTGTAATGCAGGTTCGCGTGTTACTGTGATGTTATATGCGTAGCCCGTCGGTGCATGCATATATATATATATATATATATATATATCATGATTTCAATGAAGTTGCCGTCCACTGCCGCTGGAGTTTTGTTGATTGATTGTAAATATTTTAATAAAGCGGTCCGGATATCGTTCATGGATCAGCGTGCTTCTATTTACTATGTACTGTTTTACTGCTTCCGTTCGCGTCATCTGTAGGGACAGAAACTGCTCATATATATATTTATATTGTGCGTGTGTGTGTGTGTGTGTGTGTGTGTGTGTGTGTGTGTGTGTGTGTGCGTGCGTGCGTGCGTGCGTGCGTGCGTGCGTGCGTGCGTGCGTGCGCGC